CCCAGCTAATTTTTTGTATTTTTAATAGAGACGGGGTTTCACCATGTTGACCAGGATGGTCTCGATCTCTTGACCTCGTGATCCACCCGCCTCGGCCTCCCAAAATGCTGGGATTACAGGCTTGAGCCACCGCGCCCGGCAAGGGTGATTATTTGATGAATGCCTCCCCTGGAAGCTCTGGGAACCATGAGAGTAGGTACTAAGGTAGGCTTTGCCTATCACTCTATCCTGGGCACTCGGAATGGGATCAACTCACACAGGTGCTCAAAGTGTACAGATGCCCCTCAGTAGGGTTATGTCCAGATAAAGCCATAGCAAGTTGCAAAGATTGTAAGCTGAAAGTGCACTTAAGGCCAGGCACAGTGGCTCATGCCTGTAATTCCACCACTTTGGGAGGTTGAGGTGGGCAGATCACTTGAGGTCAGGAGTTCGAGACCAGCCTGGCCAACATGGTGAAACCATGTCTCTACTAAAAATACAAAAATTAGCTTGGGTGTGGTGGCGGGTGCCTGTAGTCTCAGCTTCTCAGGAGGCTGAGTCAGCAAAATTGCTGAACCCAGGTTAGGCAGAGGTTGTGGTGAGCCAAGATCGTGCTACTGCACTCCAACTGGGGCAACAGAGCAAGACTCCGTCTAAAAAAAAAAAAAAAAAGTGCATTGAATACACGTAACCTACTGAATATCACAGCTTAGCCTTGCCTATCTAAAATATGCTGAGAACAAACACAAAGCCTATTATATAATAAAGTGTGAAACAGCTCACATAATTTATTGACTACTGCACTCAAAGCAAAAAAACAAATGGTTGCATGGGTACGGTTCCTACTGAATGCATGTCGATTTCACACCACTGAAAACGCGACAACTGTAAGCTAAGCCGGGTAAATCAGGGACTGTCGTCTCATGACATTCTCCCAACAGTCCTGCAAGGTAAAACTATGATCTCCTTTTATTTATTTATTTATTTATTATTGTTTTTTTGAGATAGAGTTTCACTCTTGTTGCCCAGGCTGGAGTGCAGTGGCACGATCTCGGCTCACGGAAACCTGTGCCTCCTGGGTTCATGTGATTCTCCTGCCTCAGCCTGCCGAGTAGCTGGGACCACAGGTGTGCATCACCACTCCCGGCTAATTTTTGTATTTTATTTTTTAGTAGAGACGGGGTTTCTCCATGTTGGCCAGGATGGTCTTGATCTCTTGACCTCGTGATCCACCTGCCTTGGCCTCCCAAAGTGCTGGGATTACAGGCGTGAGCCACCGCTCCTGACCTCTATGAGCTCCTTTTATAAATGGAGAAACTGAGGCTCTGAGAGTTAGATTGACTTGCCCAAGGCCGCAGAACTAGAAAGGCAGGGCTTGAGCCTGCTGTCTTCTTTCTCCAGGTGCCCCCACCCGCCCCTGGCATTCAGCTGATGTGCCCCAGGCCAGCCCACCTATGCCCAGAGCCTCCCAGTCCCATCAGTGCCCAGCCTTAAGCCAGGACATATCTTGAGTATCACTCCTTACCCACACTGTTCTTGAAAAAATAGAAGAAAAAACCCCACAAAGTTGACCCTTTTTTCTTTTCTTTTTTTTTTTTTTTGAGACGAAGTCTCCCTCTGTTGCCCAGGCTGGAGTGCAATGGCTCGATCTTGGCTCACTGCAACCTCTGCCTCCCAGGTTCAAGCGATTCTCCTGCCTCAGCCTCCCAAGTAGCTAGGATTACAGGTGAGTGTCACCATGGTAATTTCTGTATTTTTTTAAGTAGAGATGGGATGTCACCGTGTTGGTCAGGCTGGCCTTGAACTCCTGACCTCAGGTGATCCACCCAGCTTGGCTTCCCATAGTGCCGGGATTACAGGCATGGGGCACCATGCCCAACCTACTTTTTATATTTTTAATAGAGACAGGGTTTTGCCACGTTGGCCAGGCTGGTCTTGAGCTCCTGACCTCAGGTGATCCACTGCCTCAGTCTCCCAAAGTGCTGGGATTATAGGGGTGAGCCACCATGCCCAGCCTGAAAAATCAGTCCATTTCTATAAGCACAAATGGAAGGACACACTCACCCCATGTTTCTGGATGGCAACGTTGGTGAGATGAACGAACATGTTGTCCAGCTCACTGGTACTCGGGGTGTATTTCACCGTGCAAAACCGGCAAAACCCAAGTTTATACCTAGGTGGGAATGTAGATTAATCAAACTCCAGGGAGAAACACAAAGAACAGATACCACGTCATTCTCTAAAAAGAGCTGCTCTTGTGTGTGTGATTTACACAACTCACATCAGCGTCACGGCTGACTGCTCTTACGTCCCTCAATCCCTGCCCTGTGCCAGGCACTGCACATGCACTGTTTTATCAGACCTCACAACGGTGCGAAGGAGGAAGAGGTTTAAGGTGAAAACACAATCAAGAGGGAACCCAAACCTTAGGGATGCTTACATGTAACAGCGCAGCGGACGGTATGTAGACACCAGAACGTACAAGCGCAAGTCGAACTTCCTCCCGCCAATAAGTAAAGGGTTGTTAATATAGAGAGAGATCACGTAGGCTTCTTTATTAGATTGAGACACAAACCTAAACATGTCAGAGAAAGTAAGAGTTAGATGGTAAAAGGTGCAATACTGAAGACACAATCCATGAATAAAATAACTGATAAAGTGGACTCCATTCAAATTTTAAAATTAAACATTTTTGACCGGGCGTGGTGGTTCACGCCTGTAATCACAGCACTTTGGGAGGCCGAGGTGGGAGGACCACTTGAGGTCTGGAGTTTAAGATAAGCCTGGCCAACGTGGTGAAACCCTGTCTC